CGCCATGAAAAATCCCAGCAGTCTTCTTGGACAATCACAATCTATCTTGATTTGAAACAGTTGCGTTGATTCAAAAGGAGGTCTCTTCTTCAAAGGAGGTGACCAGCTCCACTGAAGTCATAAGGAAAAGAGGAAAGAGGAAGACACAAATTCACCCTTTCAGAAGTTTTGTCGCCTAGAAAAAATATGCCATTTTTATGTCTGTGCAAGAAAGCTGCAGGCAAGTTCTTCAGCAATTAGAATTCTTATTATTAGGATACCCGCTGATACAGCATGAAAGCTATTTTTCAAAAAATCATGTAAATCTTGTTAATATTCCACATATCATTAAAACAATGTCTTCCCAGATCAACCAGCAACAGCCCAAGATGCTACTTAAAACAAATAAACTGGGAAGTTATTTTGGGTAGAAAATTATACCATAGAAGTATACAAGCATCACTTAGGGATAAACCACGCAGACAGAAATTCCTGGCCTGAAGAAGAAACACAGTATGAGAACTACTCTATTGGGCACCTACAAACTATGACAACAACAACCGAGACATGCTGAATATCAAAATGCATACTGAGAGGGATAGGAAGCATAGTACTGTTATTTTTCAAAGTGTCAAAACAAGGTACAACTGCCAATAACTTTTTTGTTGGACCAGGAAGATAAAAATGCACAGAAGCACAAGAACTCTTGAAATCATCCAGAAAAATGTGCAAGACTTGTTTCACTGTTAGTTCACTATTCTGTAATACGTTTAAATTCTATACCTTTGCAAAGCTATAAAAGCAAACATTAGGTATGACTTCAAAAATCAGAAGTTAAATATAAATAGAAAAACTTGTTCAAAAGTAGTAAAAAGAGCAGGTAAAATTAAAATCTGTACAGGTAGCACAAAGACCATGTAAAAACACCATACTGCCTTCTGAGAACAAAAAAAATAAAATGACAGACAGGAATAAAAGGAGTCTAAAAAGATAAACAGGCATGTATCCTAAAAAAAAAAAAGGCAGAAATTGTGTTCGAAAGAGGAAGATAGATCCCAGATCTCACAGATTATACAGAAAAAAAACATAATGAGCATATTTAAAAGTTAGAGAGATTGATCTGAAAACAAAACAATCTTTCGTTTTTGGGTGCAGGAAGGCTCACACAAAAGCCTGCAGAACTACAAGATGACAAATACAAAACTGAAAATTTAGGACCCTTTTTATTACTTTCCATTACCATCACTTGGGTAAAGACCTCAAATTCATGAAATATTCACTTAAGGGAGAGAGGTATAAAATGTGCAGAGTTAACAAGTTTTTCTGATATTCTTGTACAACTCCAAAGGCTTAAACACATTTTGGTATTGATGGAGTCCTTGCTAAACTCAAACTTCCAAATGCTGACTGAAGAAAAGTAAGACCTGATTTTGCCTCTCTTTATCTTGAAGTCTACCAAGGAGAAAATACAAAGAACCTTTTGAACTACTTTGGTTTGATCCAGTATGCTGACTTTAATCACATCAGCCAGCTCCAACATTAAAATAAATTGTGAACAGTTTGCCTCACAACTACACACCAGTAACAGGCATTTGATACATGCCCTTTTAAGAGCAAAGATGACAAGTCATATTACTCTTGATTACAAATAACTGCTTTCATCATGAAACAGAAGATACTCTCGAAAAAGAAAAATAGAGATTTTTCAAAAATAGAGGTACACCCTGCAAATTTAGTTAAAATCAGTTCAGAGGTACCACACACAAAGAGACCATTCTGAACTGCAAGCATGCCCACAGAGTCATGAATGACTTATGGTCCCAAGCCCACACATAGTCCACGGTCAAAGCACCAGTTTCCCTAGTATTTGTATGTGAGACAGAATAAGTCCAGTTTGGATAGGTTTTTAGACATCCTGCAATTACAAATTTCAGTTGCAATGCAAATACAGTACAAATGGGAATTATTATTATGTGTTCAATTCTTCTGTACAAATGATGTCTTTCTCCCCTGTTCAGTCTCACCTCTCTATTTGATAATATTCTCTAATCTACATCTGTTTTCCAAAAGATGAGCTAATGATGACAGACTATCCAGGACATATCCTTTCGGTTATGTCTGAGACATGAGTAAAAGTAACACCCAAAACCCATGTATATCAACAGATACAGTAAAAAAGAAGCACTCATCAGGTGTTCTACGAGCTCTAATGCATTACTATACAATACACGTTCTTGTTATTTCCTACCATTACGCCAACAGCTTCACAAAATCTTTGTCAAAAGCAATCAAGATCAATAAATCAAACATTGCGCACAAAACTGTTTTATACAAAGCCTCTTTGACGTAACACCAGAAAGGGAAAAAATTCCAAGCTATGAATATATCTGAGGCAATCCTAAGAACTCTGCCTCCCTTTACTGCCTGCTAAGGTTGTACTTTAGTACGGAAATAATTAGTCATTAACACACAATCAATTTATCACTAACATATACTCATAAAGCATTCAAAATAGATTTCACCTTTATTTAAAACAATTAACTAATGCTAACATTATGGTAAGAACTTATGATAACAGATCGGTAATATTAAATTATATTTAATATATTCTTTTATTAATTATACTATTATAAACTAAAATAATAACACAACAACATAATGCTAAACTATTTTATATTACTATATTTTCTATTATATATTTATGCTAATATACTAAGATATATTAATAAACATTGAAATACTAAGAGATTGGTTTTTGTTTTGCAAATCAACATACCTGAAATGAGAAGTGATTCTTGTTGCAGCATGTTCCTTACATCAGTTTACGAACACTAGCAGATTTATCCTGTACTTTTACTGCTAACTGAGAGGAATGACTTAGGTAGCGCAGGTAACACAGAATTATTCCTTAACAAATTTCAGAAATGGCAGAACTCAGATAACCTTACTTTCTGCAAGCTAGTTGATTACTGTATATACAACCTATCAACATGTAAATGAAGCCTGAATTCTTAGTCAGGAATAAAATTCACTGAAATAAGATTCCATTTGAAAAACAGACTTAAATTCACCACCTTAGAATAAGATATTTTTCAACTGTGCCTTCCTCTCCCCCCCGCCCCAACTCCTTTCAGAAGATATTAAGTGTCAATACTATGGGGAACCCCACGCTACTTGCCACAGTACCCACAGAATTTGAAGATACCATCTTCAAATTTCACGCATAACTATCGGCTTATTTAAATTAAAAATAGACTGTCATATAAAGTTCCAACCAGCATGGACAGAATTTTTTTTATTAGCCACGTGCTTGCTTGTGCCAATATAAAATGTATTTTGATTGTCATACTTTAATAAACGGGAAAAAATCTGAAAGAATCCATGCAGACAACAGTTTCAAATAACATTATCAATAGACATTTGAACTTCATGTAAACCGATATCTGGACAGTTCTGACTGCACAAGGCCATGAAGTTCATCCCTGATTCACCAAGTGCCATACAAATATTAAATGCATTACGATGAAAAACTTCATCTCCCTAGACTGGCTTCCCTTTCTTAAAGTTTTCGCCCTTCCAAGTTAGTAATTCAAACTACCTACTCAATTTCTTCTCGCTTTACGTTTGAAGGTTGGGGTTTTTTTTTGGCTTTGCCTACAAAACAAGTCCATATGCCTGCTCTACTTAATACAAGATGACCATAATGCACTGAGATTGTGTAATAAAACTCCTGTTATTCTAAAATTAAAAACCATCCACAAGACAGATTTTGATTTACTTGCATGACTTACCAAGTCAATGTGTCAATGCCTTTCTTATTTTCCAGTAGTAGGTACGACTGCTGCTGCTTGCTTCTCCCCCCTTCCCCCCAAAATGTTGAATTGAACCTGATCACAGCCTTCTGTGTATCTTTTCCAGTTAACCCCATCCTACACTGTAAGCCCTCCTCAGATAGAATGACTCTACTTTCTCTTAAAGAAAACTACACTACTATGTAAATAGTCCAATTCATTTTAAGGAATATGCTCCCAGAACAGAGATACTACTCATTGAGTAAATAGGGGACATGCCACCATTAAATCAGTCATTTCTTAAATAAAAAGAAATTTCATTTTAGTTCCAGTTTGATTTTATAATCAGTTTCACTCCTAACATATAAGTACCCATACACCCCCATCTTCTGCAAGGATGGAGGTGGCAGACTGGACCCATTCGCTTTTAGTTCTTTTGTGTCAGAAAATTATAACGTCAAAGGAATGAGGAAAGCTAATGAAGAGGAGGATGAAAGTTATAGTGACTTTCTCAAGAAGACTGCCAATAAAGATTGGTCATCTGTTCATCCTTAAGGCAGCAATCACACCACTTACCGACAGAATATACAGATTTCTGCAGAAAACACTGTTCCTAAGAACTATACACACGTTTTTAAATGAAATAGGAAAATAAAGCAAAGATACTCAGGTGAGTTTAGCCACGTGAAAACTCAATTTCCACATCCCACAGTTTCATATTTTACTCATCAGAAGCTACAATACCTGCATAAATATTTTATTCTTTAAAAATTCAATTAGCCAGTTCAAAGACTTACTCAAATTGTCAGAGATTACTAATACTCAGTGAGACCTAGGGGTTCCCAATTACCTCAAACACTACTGAAAACAGTTTTTTCAGTTTTCAACAGAATTGAACATATAAAATATATATAAATTAATATAAATGTATAAATATATAACATATAAATAGAAAAGAACATAAATAAAAAACACTCTGATCAATTTGAATCACAGATAATACATGAGACCTGATGGTTGCCTGAAGCAATCCTAGAAATGTGACAATTCTGACTCATAGCTAAGTCCGCACACCATAAAAACCATGCACTGTAATTCCATGACTCGGACAGCTGTGGAATTGAAGTATGACATAGATTTTAATCTAGTGATGACTAGTAGACAAAAAACCCAACAAACATACTTTATATGATATGTAGAGATTTTATGAGTTGGTCAAACAATTCTTACCCCAGCAGAATTTTAGCATGAACCTCTTTGTTAGTCCTTGAGATTTCTCTCAAAGAGGTAATTTCTGCATCAAACCAAAATCCTCTTTCTTCTGGAGCCTCAACATTGTAATTAACCATCACCACATCACCCACTTTTAGTTCACTCCACTTCAGAATGGTTCTTGCTCGGGGTCGAAGATTACTGGTGTCCATTTCTACTATGCCATTCTCTGGGTACCTTGAAAAGTAAAACCAACAACAGTAACGATTACGACTCCTGTAACAGTAAGCAGTAAGTCACAGACAACATTTTCAAAAGTATAAATTTTTAAGTGTGCTTTGGGCATATAAGAAAGATAGCAGAAAATTCTGACCTAATATCCTTTTGAAAGTTTAGTTTTCATCTAAACACAGACCAGGAACTTGACTAATTTCTGATGGAAAAACAGCCTCCATGAGTTTTTTCCTCAAAAAAAAAAAAAAAAAAGGTAAATCTATAACCACCTGATGACTTTCTGATTGCAATGTGATCAAGTTCAAGGTTTTGGAACACACATGGCCCCTGTTTTGCTCCCAGTAAAATCAATATTCCAATTGAAGCGACAATGAAACTTCATGAAGACTAAAACTATGTTTTTCAACTCAGCACATTTCTAATTTAGCTTTGCTTTCATGCATTTATTACACTTCCACTAACTTCAATAACAACACATTTAGGAAAGTTTTTTAAAAATTTGACCTTGCAAACACAGCATATCGAATTCATGTGGTGAATATAGTCCAAGTCCACATTCCATGTACCATGTTTAAAAAAAGTCTAACTACAAAACGCAGTGAGAAACAGAACTAAGACTCTCAATGAGTAACAAGAACTGACAAATTGAAAATGTTTCTCCTTTTAAATTACAAAAACAAAAATTCTAAAAATTCTAGAAAGGTAAATGTGAGAATTATTCCTTCTCTTGACAACACACTTCTCTTGGCAAAATGTAGTAAGGAATGCAATATTAAAAGAAATTAATAGTTCACTAAATAATAAGTAAGAAGTTTTGGTTGACTTATTTTTCACTACGACTTGATGACTTTTTACACAGTATCTTATGTAATATTACCCACAAATTGCTAGGGTTTACAGGAGATTGCTTTCTTCCTCCTGTGTTGGTGTATGCCATCACAGCACATACACAAAAATCAAATAGTAATGACCAATTTCTGAGGAGCTCCAATTCCTTTCCGAGTTAAGACTCATTTAGTACAATTAAGATGGTGATATTTGACAGCTCCAGAACTAAAATCCTAGCGCAAGACAGCAAGCTTTTAAGATCTGAGATGCTAACTTTTCAGTTTAACGCCACAGCTTTCCTAAACCGTCCGTAGAAGGAAATTATTCAATGATAGTAGAGCCTGTGTAGTTTGCACATGTGCTGGAAAAGCAGCACAACATGGACATGATGAAAACATTGCTTGGAGAAAAAAGCTGGCCTGTTACACAAAGTAAAAAGTAAGATGCTAGACTAAAATGGTGACATTCCTTTCTGATAGTGTGTATAAGTAAATTAAGAATTTCCCATCACTTAACTAGTACTAGATGAGGTCACAGTATAAATTTAAGAGAGAAAATTAAAATGTCTATGCCTATAAACAAGTGCTATTAAATGCATTCATTTTCCTTCTTAACAAACACTGCTGAGGATGATATATTTTAAACTACATTTCCATCATGCAATTATTGGTACTTTGGCAAGAGCACTCATGCTTTATAGTTAATATAACTTTATCCAACAGCACTGTTAAAATTGTAATGGCAAAATTCTACTCTTAATAATAAAAGTATGGCTCTGCAACTTTCCAGCATGCCTCCCTGTAGTGAATAAGATAATTTAAAGGTCTTGGCAAAAATCACACATTGTGACTTACTACATTACTACATAAAGAAATACTAAAACTACTGTCATTAAAAGCATGACGCTCTGATAGACTCTAGCCTGAAATGAGGATGTCTGCTCCTACACAGTTGATTGAAAGCCCACTGATACAATTGGAGACATTTTAAACAAGTTAATTTTGCTTTGTTTTATGCCTTCTATTAAATCTAACACACCAGTTTGCTACTACAGATAAGGTTAGGGGCAGAGCCAGACTTGGCATTGTACCTCCAGGCATTTATTTGTCCTCTACCAGGCAGATACCTGGAGTGTGCCTTCAATTTGTGTGAAGATTTATCTTTTTTTTTTTTTCCTCTTTAAAGAAACATGAACCACAACAGTTTAAAAGTGTCTGTACCCTTAACTACTTACAACAGTAAAATCCAGAGGGTGTTTTTTCTCCATCATTTTCAGATACTAATTATAAAAATCTGCATGACAGGAATTATATCACACAAAGACAGGTGCTTGGGAGCAAACCAGTATCCAAATGACAGTCTCATATGATGCAACTCTCCACAGTTCCTACATCTTTTTTTTTTAACTTGGTTTTGTTTCCAATTTCCGCGTGTACTGCAAATCTAACATTGGTGTTTTTACTTTTATGTCATGCAGCTTTTCCTTAAAAGAATTATTATACAATTCCACTATAATAGTTCTGAACATTGCAACTGTAATATCCACAACATCCATAAGACAGATTCATCTACAGGTAATAAGACAAAGCAAAAAGCAACTATAGAGATAATGTCTATTTTATTGAGTGCCTGAATAATGACATCACGTTATAGTACAACAGGCTACTGAAATCTCAAGACAGCTATGTCTGAGCTACTAGTCAGTTCCAGTCACCTTACAACAAACCCTTCCTAAAGTTTGGAGATGACAGCAAGTAGCACACAGTAAACAAAGACTCAGTTTACTTGAACGCCAAAATGAAAATAGCGCTTAAACATCAGGAAACTAAAGAAGATAGATATCATTTATGTATACATAAATAAAAATATACATCATTTATGTATACAGTGAAATAATCAAGTGAGAAGTACATATGAGATCAGTGGGCTTTTAAAAATAACCAATACACATTAAAAAAGTTCCAGTGTTGCTATAAAAAAAAAAAATCAAAAAATCAAAACCTGTGTCTTGCAACAGTTTACGTTCATAGAAAATTAACTTTGATCTGAAAAATCTATTCTTTTCTAAAAATAAAATTCCTTAAAATTCCTTCAGGTTCTGTTGTCCCAAGGAGACCTTTAATGATACCTTTTTAAAATATATTTTTTTACTTAATGACTAAGATTTTTTTTTCCCCCCCAAATTCAAATTTGTGTCGTCTTTCCCACCCTTATATACAACTCAAAACAGAATCTTTCCAACTGTACTGCTGAGGAACTTCAAAAGTTGTCACAGTTAACAATGATTCCACCTCTGTTCTTGGAAGTATCTGATGAAAGAACCCAAACAAAGAAGACTGCTTATCAGCAAAGTCCCCTTTTACAGGCAGAAAGAAAAGCCCCCAAAAGATTGCTTACTGAGAAGTCCCCTTTTTACAGAAAGAAATTAACTACTTTCCAAAGAAAGAAAAGGAAGGCAGAGTCTCCACTGAGTGAATTTTTCCTCTTAATGGCTGGACAGAAACTTAAGCTCAGAAACTTTGGAGGAAAAGAGATAGCTAACAAACAGGTGAGATTTCCCATGCTGGAATTCACCTTTCTTTTGCATCAGGCTCCAGGCATTGAATGTTTTGCTGCTGTGCCTTCATGTACTGAAATACAGTTTTATGGACATCAGTGAACACTAGCAGATATTTAACAGGCAGAACAGCAGAAACAGCATTTGTCACAAGGTTTTGAGTTAGGCTCAAAATCACAGGATCACAGTCTTTAGATTAAGCACAGTACCACTATTCCTCATTACACCAGGTAACAGTAGTCAGTACTACTGTAGTAGTTAGTATTTCCACAGTAAACTTGTGCCCTTAAATTTATCTAATGCCACAATTAAGTAGAAAATGCTACTACCTCTATGTTCATTTTTCCAAAGTTTAACATGTTAATTGTAAAAATTCCACATTAACTTAAAAGCTAATCTCTTAAATATGCAAGAGTAATATTTAAATATAAAGTCACAAAATAGGCATATGTGGTCTTATGTAGATAAACCAAAACATAAAGAGAACAAATATGAGCTTTTAACAAGCCTCAAGAATGAGGTGAAGAACTAATTCTGGCAAGGTATAATAAAGGACTACTGTTAGACATGAATGTTTACTGAAAGTGTTTTCTTATTTATTGAGTTACTTTTAAAATCCTAAGATGACCCTCAAGAGAAAAAAGGAGTATTTTCACAGCAGTGTTTTAATTAGACTGGTACAGTTGAAGAGAAGATTATATGACACAATTCAACCTTTAAACTTAAAACAATTGTAGACATTTTCTTGAATTTCCATGGTTTTCATGACACTAGACAACTAATGTCAAAAAAAGCAGATATAACAGTAAGCATAATCATAATAGTTTAATTCATACTGCCCATAAGAAGTCTCTTGTTCATCATTAAGCTGTATTTCCCTGTAATTTAATTTTTTCCTGTACTATTTCTAACTGTAAATATTAACACTAGCATAGCAAGAATTTCCTAAGATTTCCTATCTGTGTAGACAGTTTCCATAGCAAAGAATCATCCATGAAGTACAAATTCCAGTGTTTCTTGGCTATTGTCAGTATCTGCTCATTCTTTAAATGCTCAAGTACTAAAAAACATATTAGCTTTATGTCAGAATATACACAAGTCTGCTTAATTTACTGAGAACTTGCAACATACTCTTTAACACTTTTCCCAGCTGTTACCAGAACATCTGGAACTGGAAAGATAAAATTCTTTAAACAGAAGTCTAGATTCCCCATCCCCTCTACATGCTAGTACGGTAATAAATGTTAGGGCAGATATGCAATTTTTTAAATTGTTATTTTCCAATATAAATAGAATGAAAGTATAATTTATTTTCCAAATCAACAAACTTGTAAGAGTCATCATTCAATATACACCCATAAATGAAGGAATAGAAGGGCACAAATAAAAGAAGAAACAAAAAGGAGTGAATTCATAGAGGAGGTAAGTCTGATTAAGAAGGTAAACCTGAAAAGAAACTACATTCACACATGCACACACCTTCCCCAACAATTTGCTACCTGAGGAAATAATGAGCATAATTTTGCCGTAGCATTTTGAGAAAGTGAATGACACTATACTGGAAGAGCATCTAAGCCACAATTGCAAATTAAAAAAAATAATAAAAATAAATCACTGG